ACATTTTAGGTCATATATTTTCAAAACGTGTTCGTTTTATTTTCCATTTGCAGAATTTTAATACAAATTTTAAACCCAACGAAAACTATTGGATACAAATGTATGACTACTTTTCGAAAAAAATTGTTAAAAGTTTCAATAATATTGTGATGGAAAGAAATGAGATAACATTCTAAAAATAGTAAATAGTAAATGTTTTAAAATATCAACTAAATCAGATATTTTAAGAGCTAAAATAATATTTAAACCCCCTATATATATATAATAAAAAAAAAAGCTTTTAATTTGCCCACCATTAAATTAATTACAACTTTCTATGTTTCTCATTTACAAGCAGCTAACAGAGAAAGATGAACAACTCCATTTTCACACAGCCTTTTTTAGTTTCTTCTTCATTTTTGTAAAATATATATCTGAACGCTCCAAAATCTCCATTAATTTACTCTTTCAAATATTTCAAAGCTTTCACATGAGAGAGAAGATCGATAATTTTTTTAATTATTATTATTATTTTTTAAATAAAAGAAAGATCAATAAGTTTGACATTCAAGAGCAAGACCAGGATTGACAAGGAAGTCAAAATAGTGATAAGATCAAAAAAGGGTTTAATTTTCTTCTTATTATATGATATAATATTGGAAAGGATGATGAATATATATATATATATTTTAAATGGAGTTGGTGGGCTAATTAATTTGATTAATTAGCCTCACAATGTTTACTTGATTAGTAGAATCATGGACTAGAAAATGAGAAGACCCATTTTAGATCATCCAATATCACATGTTTGAAAGAAAAAGAATATTATTATTTTTTTTACATGGGCATCTAAAAAAACATTAGAAAATAGTACCTAAAAAAATAATTATAGTTATAATATAAGTAGAATTCGGTAAATCGTACACGAGTAAAATATAACATGGGTAATTGTCACGTCTATAAATTAATTATTATTGCCAAAGCGAAGGTAGTTCAACGGTAATTGACATATATATTCAATTAAGAATTTATGAGTTTGATCCCCAAAGAATTATTATTTAAGTGAATCGTTATTTAGGTAAATCAACAAATTACCATATAAAAAAAAAATTGTGTTGATTATCGTTATTAAAGTCAATTATTAATTTTTTTAAAAAAATTTAGAAATGCTATATTTGCGACTACTTTTCAAGAAAATAAAGTTATATATTCAAAATTTTCAATAAATAATAATTTTGACTCGCTTATATGATCAAGATCACTAAAAAGCGAATAATATTGTACAATTATACGCCTACATAAAAATACAAAGTTTATTTGTTCTTGTTCTACCTAAAAAACTAGACCAAATCAGTTGTCTTATTAGCCAAAGTTTGAGAAAGTTATTCATAGGATAATTAAAGTGGTTGAAAATTAAATTTACACAACAAAAAGTGTTTAGGAAAAAGAAAAATAAAAATAAAAGTCTAATGTGGCTGCAAAACAACTTGCCCAAAGTCTCTCCCATCTCTTTATGGAAACCACATAGTTTGGTCAATTTGAACACAATAATCCATTGGAATTTCATAAATAGAAGTTTCTAATACGCCTCAAAACAATAAATAAATAAATAAGAACCAATTTAATCAGTACATTTGTTGTCGACCGACTTAGACATATCTATAAAGAGTCAAACACACGTCTCTCTATATAGATGGTATGTTTGTATGACTTTATTACCCATATTTATTTTATTAGTAATGTAATTCATTCGAAAAAAAAATAAATACAATGTCCTTAATTTGTTTATTTTTGGTACAAGGTGGGATTTAAACTTCCAACCTCTAACGAGATTACTAATGTTATATATGTTGGCTTCGATTCTTATTTTAAAATTTTAATTTGGCATGGTTACCTCTAATTCAACTTAATATATGGATTGTTTTATTCCAATGTATAAATATATGAAAACCATGTGGTTAGGTGTGTATATATTCATACCATTGTTTAATTTGCTAGCTATTTTAATAATATTTTTGTTACAATTTTAATTTCTTGATTATTTTTTCAAAATCATTTTGAAATTAATCTTACAAAAATTTAATTTTTATAGACTTTTTTTTTTTAAAAAAAAAATAATTAGAAGTGGGAATGATGTTCTTTTTCTTAATGGTCCCAAACCGAAAATAATTTTTGTATTTAAAAAAACAAAATTGTTGAAACTTTACTATCAAACTCATCGAACTAAGTTGATTTTTCTGAATTTAAGTTAGACCCTTAAAAAAATATCATCTATCAATAAGATTACGAATCAAAATACACCAAAAGATGACAAAATATGTAGAAGGAAGTATTTATGACTTTGTTTTTTTTTTTTCTTTTTTTGTGTAATCTCCAAATTTGATATCTACAAAATCTAGAAGAATATCTCTTTTTTTCCTAATTATCGTAGCGAAAGAAAAAAAATAAGAAAAATAAATAATATATATATATTTTTTTAAACTTGACCTTGGAAAGACAAGGTTGCCCTTGCCCTTTGGATGGGCCCACATGTTTGTGAAAAAAAAAATGAAACAAAATTTTCTTCAAAATTTCAATCAAATATTACAAGGTTAGATGCCGACAGAGGGTTTATTTGGTGTTTTGCTTAATTACAAACTCGGTTTTAACCTACAGTAATAAAATTATTTCCCAAAAAACGCGTTAATTTGTTGGCTAATTACCATCACTTAATAGCTGTTAATTATTAATTAAGTAAGTTTATTTTAAATTTTCATCTAAAATTTAAGATTTTGTATTCAACCAATATGTGAGGGTGGAGTTTGAATCTTTATATTTTTGGTCGATGATATATGATATAATAGTTGAGCTTCTTTTTGATAACTCAAAATCGATAGTTAATGGTTCTCTATAACTGAGGGTGTCGACAACCACCCACTACGCTGTAATTGACATTGTGGGATTTGTCCCGAAATGGGAGTGGAAGGACCTCGACTACGCACCCCGCAGAGCTTGAACCGGGGAGCGGGATAACCTCATTCGACCACAAGCCCACTACATGTACCATTACCCACCGGTAGTAATAGAGCTATGTATAAATTAGGGTTTCGAACGAAATCGTATTAAATAATGTTTCATTATTTTCAAATTTTTTGAATTAATGGTTCGTTAATAACTATTTTTTAAAGTATAAGCATGGTTCTAAATATCCATCGACACGTCGACATTTCAATCGACATATCCATGTTTCCATGGGTTCGACATCAACATGAAGGATGAATCAATATTTCCATCATAAAACAAGAAAATCCGACAAAATATGGAAAAAATCAACAAAATGTCACTAATATATACATAATATTAATATTAATTATTTTTAACTAACTTAGAAATAGTAAAATATTTATTTGTTAATTTAAATATTCTTTTACAATTTTTTGACATTTCTAACTTTTATAGAAATATCCATCGACACCGACATTTTATCGATATTTCCATGAAATTGAATCCTCAGTCTTTTCATCGACATCAACATTTAAAAGCTTGAGTATAACGTGATTTGAATATGTTAGAAGAAATAAATTAATACACAATAATTAAAAAATCTTTCAAAAAATATATTTCAAATTAAATCAAACTATGCAATCTCGAGTGGCTCAAAAGTTAGGTTTGTATATAATATGCAATTAAAAAATGGAAATCCTAAATATCGTATAATGGCTCCCATCACATGCTAAACACTTTCTAACTTTATAGATTACATAAAATATATCTAAACTTTTAGAAATTCCGTTAGGCACTAATTAACTAATTTAATAAATCACGAATTCAAACTAAATACAAGTTTCCTGAACATAAACTTTTAAAATTCAATTCACATGAACAATATAAGCTAATATAAAAACTCAAACCTTCCAACTCCATTTTGGAAAGTTTAATATTTGATGATAGTATAAAAATATTTTTTAAAAAAATATAACATTATAAATATCGAGCGTAATACTTTTATATATTGTCGGAGGTGATTTCTCAACTCACACATGGCATGTGATGATTGGATCCTAAATGTAACGCGTGACTTTTCTTTCTAGAAGTCCAAGTTGTCTTACCTCGACCATGATTCATCATGTCGAGTCGATCTCTTGAACGGTCTAGTCGACCAAATAATTCTAAATCATATTCCCAAGCGATCGATTGAACTGACTTCCTCTACGATCGGCTCAGCCCATTCTTTGACAGACTTTGCGACATCGCGTTTCACGATTACCTTAAAGAGCCGATGAAGCCTTATCAATAACACGGTCGGAGACTTCCTCTATAGCATTCTAAGGTACGCAAATCCTAAATTCTCTCTCGAGTTTAGTTCGGCAGCTACTGACTTTAGCAACGAAGTGTGTTTTGTTTTGCAGGTCACCTACCGAGTCGAGGTTCACGCACTTGGTTGATTTCCTGATTCAATATATATATATATATATATATATATATATATATATTAGTACAACATGTGGAGTGAAAGATCGAACTCACAACCTCTTAATTGGAGATATATAGTAATTACCGTTGAGTTCGCTTTAACGATCAGAATGCTATATTCAATCATTCCACTCATAAAAAATTAATATTTGAACCATTTGAGTTATGGTTTAAATTTACCTATGAAAATCATACTTTACTATTAATAATGGAGAAAATCTTTCATGCAATAATATAATAATTGAAATATCCATTGAACCTTTATTATTAATTAATTTTTCACCACCTTAATATAATAATATTAACATGAAATGCATTGAACCTCTTTAATTTCTTTTTCTTCCACTTACACCATAATTGTATAATAATCACTAGTAAAAAGCAGAAGACCCACTCAAATTCCACATCTTTACATATAATCAAGACATAAAATATTTAAAATTTAATTAATACCATATGTCCTTGTAGTAGTACTTTGTTAATTAATCTCTTTATAGTACTCAAGTCAAACTTCAAAACTGCCAAGATTTTTTTGTTTTTCTGTCCATCATTATTAGTATAATTATTATTTTTCAATAATTGAAGCGTAAACTAATCTCATAGAGAATCATATATTAGGTAGAATATATTTTTGTCCGCACACCTCAAGTAATTTTATGAAATGGAACAATTTATTTGACCCTTAAAATATTTAGGGTCGAAAAACTTTATATATATATATATATATATATATATATATATAATATTTTAAATGGGTAGCCGTCATAGTTTAGGATGGCTAATTACTTCTATTGAATACACAGTTTTCACTTCTTTGTTAGAATATTTTTTTATTAATAATAAAAATATTATTTTTATAAAGAAAATGACAAGAAATTTTCAACACTTTAGGGGAGTTTTTTTGGACGTTTGAAAATGTGAACAAAATGAGAGAAACAGGACTCAATTGGAGAGATTCAAACATAGAAAAGGGAAAAAGTTGCAATGAAGTCACTTTAGTTAGGATGCAACATTTTCCCTAATTTGTTTAAGTTAGAAAAAAAAAATATACATATATATAGCAATTTTTTCTCATTTTATTTCTAAAATGTATATTTTAATAGAACACAAACTTGACTGCTACTCGTACCAATTTTCTTGCCATATATTTAATAAATAAGTGGATCTCACACGTATTAACATTTTAGATCCAATACAAATATAAACTCCACGTAAAAATATAAATAACTTACCTCCTCATTAGTAACTAGGAATTTCCAACCTATAAAGATCAATTGGTTTAAAGAATATATTTTGTATTCAAATGTTGCCCAAAATCCAACGAAAAAGTATGAATTTCTATCTACACAAAAGATGTTGTGAGTTCGAATCCCCAATCCTTGTTATATTAAAAAACATGGGTAAAAATAAACTACATTATACTTATTTACTCATGGATCAAAGTTTTTTTCCTCATTATTATCTCATTGAATGCAGTTTTTCTTTGCAGTGAATAAAGGGGGCAAAAAAGGAAAGAGATCTCATGATGGAAAAAGTGTAGAGATTTGCATGGAAGAGGAGAGAGATAATGAAAAACTCAACATATAATTCCAATTTAAAACGCAAAAATTAGGTTACCCAAAAAGGAGCTTCCATAAAGAAATATATATAAAAAAAAATATTAGCAAATCTTGTAAATGAAAATAACCTCTCTCTGCATTTGACAATCAGAATATTACAATTATAGGGAAAAAAACTTGGATCCCCTTCCAATTCACAGTTAAAATAATCATTACATTATTATTATTATTAATTATCATCCTCAAATTACCATTTTTATATATATATATATATATATATTTAAAGTATAGTATTAGTATAACAATTAACTTAATTAAAATCTTCTCTATTCCAAATTAAATTATATCGTTGCAAAAGAATGCCTGTGGATGAATGGCAAGGGCGATCACGTCCAGAGCGGCTCCCACGGCGAGCTAAGGGCGGCGTCGTCGAGAAAGCAGGCAGTGTCGACGTGTTGCGGCGCCCAAACGGGCTCCGATGACTGCCTCATTTCCATGCAGATGAAGGCCAGTAAGTTGGCTTGTTGTTGCTGCATATTGGCTACCTCTGCTCGAGCCTTGGCCAATTGCGCTTGCAGCTCGCTCACTTGCTTCTGCAGCTGGCAAATCGCGCCTGCACTCCCGTACACCGGATCTCGCAACCGTGCATTTGCCTCGTACACCATACTGCTCACTGCATCTGTTCTTTGACACTCGGGAAGTTCCTGCAAATTTTATTGCTAGTGAGTAAATATATGTATAGATTGGGAATAGATACATCTGACCAGTTGAACTACATTCATTCATGTTCATAGTTTGAAAAAAATAAAAGAAACAGACCGAATTCCATCAATTACGCGTTAAAACTACAGGTCAAAGTTTAGTTAAGTCTAGTGGATTCGTGGTTTCTTTTTCAATTAAATCCAATCCTACCCTTCTTTTTAGGAGTAAACAAGAAAATTTTATTTAATTCCTTCTAATTAAAGTATCCAGGGTTATTAATGGTAATTTTCAAACCTTAAACCCCAAACAAAAATACATCACAAAAACCCTTATCTCAAAAATAGATTTTTGGGAGTTAATTAATTCTCCAATATCTAAAAAAAACGAAAAAAGAAATTGTACCATTTTAAAGATAAAATGAAGCTCAAATGTAATTAAAGATAAAATTCGTTGAATAATAGCACAATAAAGACGAAAAAGAGAGAATAAAAGTTAAAAAGCCAAAGAAAAAGATGATCTTTGTTTGAAAAATCAATTAATTCTAGTAAAGTCCAAAGACCCAAAAAAAAAAGTTTCAGAAAAATTTGAATTTGCGTACTTGCAAGAACTTGATGATATTGCTGGCTCCAAAGACTCTATGGGCAATGGTGAATTTGAGGGGCTCCGTCGGCGGGAAATATGGGGCCAAAACACACTTCTCCACGCACCGGCGCCGGAGGATCTTGCAGGCGGCGCAGGGGCTGAGCACCACCGTGGGCGGTGGCGACGACGACGGAGGAGAGGCGGAGCGGCCGGAGGAAGAAGATGGGGAGGAGTAAGATAATGGGCGTGGAACGGTGATCGGCGTTGGTGGAGATTTCTCACATTTTGATTTGGCCACGTGATCCATTTCTAGAGAGAGAAAATTCGTGGGGGGAGGAGAGAGAATTTTCTGTTTGGAGAGTGGGAAAACAAAAAGGAAAATTTTTTGAGTTGGGAAATGGAAGGGCCAGAGAACCACATATATATAGAGAAGAATTTTAGATGACTTGTCTTGCCTACGTCATGCAGACTCTTGCTTACATCATCACTTTCAAACCAGCCAAAAAATTTGTTAGGTAACGATTTAGTTTTAAAAAATAATATCAAAATTAAGTGTTTTATAACAATTTAATATTTGTAATTCATAAAGACCTCCTTCATTAGTTTATTGATCTACGTATATAAGAAATTTAACAAAAATCTTCTTTATAAAGATTAAATCGTTACAAATTTGAACTAAATTGTTACACACCAAATTAAAGTGCAGAGACAAAATTGTTACCAATTTAAAAGCAAAGGAATTAAATCATTACAAACTAAAATTTAGAGACCGAATCTTTACTTCAAAATTCAAAGTACATGGATCAAACGTATTTGTTTCATCAATTATAAATTTCATTCTTCAATTCTTAATGTTAGGTATATTTTACTAAAATGTTTTTAGTACGTTTAAGATTTTTGTTGGTGTATCTCTTGAGACTTTATAGTTTAAACATTTCTTAAATCCACGTCTAGGAAATATTAATTTATCTTTAATTATCTGTCAGCTTAATATTATTTAGGCACTAATTGATTTTTAATAGGTATAGTCGTCTAGACATTTAATGATATAGTTATAAACAAAGGAAGTTAACACCAGAATATATTAAATACAAATTTGAAAGTTTCGATATTATTAAAAACAATTGAAAATACTGGGGCTATAATTATAAAATTGTCAAACTTATTAGAAATTTGTTAATGTTAACTCTATAAGTTGAGAAATAAAACTGATAATTTAACTATTTTATTTTATTATTGTTAAATTAACCATTTTTTTAATTTTTATTTTGCCTAGAATTTAAAATATATGTATGAAAATATGTATGAAGAAATTTGACTCATGATTGACCGAAACTGAATTTAATATTCTATGCATTTTGGATATAAATTCTCGCATGAATTTAAGTCTAAAACATCTCATTTGAATTCAAAATTATTTTTTTATGATTTAAATTTTATTTTGTACTTTGGTCCCTCCATTTTCGTGATTAATTACTTGTTTAGTCTCTTAATTTTTAAATATTTAGTTCCTAAATTTAGGGAAAAAACAATTTTAACTTTTACCATTAATTAAAATGGTTTAGGATTATGGTAGATGGGTCAAGATTTCTAAATGATTAATGAAAGATTAAAATAACTTCTAATACAAAATTTGAAATATTGAAAATAAAAGAAATTTCAGTGGCTAAATTGATAACTCCTTTCTCTAACTCTTTAGTTCAAGAAACGTGGAGACGAGGAATTGAACCTCAGACCTTTAAAGAATTAATAAGATGTCTTGACCGTTGAGTTATGTTCATATTAGTCGCTAAATATCCGATGAGATTCAAATTGAGTAGATATTTCCATTTTCTTATTGATTTGTAGCTCCAAGCCTCTCATTTGACTAATGAATTAATTTTATTCAAAAGAAATATAAGTCACACTATACAAATGGGCAATTGACCTTTTA